AAAAATTTGAATTGATAAAATAATAAATGTTATAATTGCTTATTTATGTGTCTTATTAATTAAATATGGAAATTAAACAAGAATTTACACATAAGATCCCTAAGTTAGTGGGTCCTCTTACTGAAATTTATTTAGACAGAATATTAAATTACTTTTCGACCAATTAATACTTTGCTTAATAATTTATCAGACGAAGTTTTTGACGACATTAAGGCAATTTGTTCTGATACCGATATTTTAGATCTTAAAATTGTGATTAAAAAGTTAACCTATCTTTTACCAGCGCTAAATTTAAATACTTTAATTAATAAATTTAATCTTCTTCAACAAAACTCATCAGAGAGTTTTATGCTGTGGTACATTAGAGTATCGAAACTTCATAAGAAATGTAATTTTTTGGACGATAGTAGATTAAAAGAGAAATTACGGACATCTACTTTAAACGATAAAATTAAATACAAATTTTCCAAAAATTTTGACCTTACATTGAATCAGATGGTGGAATTAGGGGTGAAACTGGACTCTAGTAATATTAAGTCTGAGGATAATGATATAAGTTATATAAATAATGATAAAAAATCCGATAAAGATAAAAATTTTTGCAGTAGAAATGATAATAATTTTCGAAATAATTTTAGAAATAATTATGATAATAGATATAGAAATGGGAATTACAATAATAATTTTAGATACATTTATGGTAATAATAATTCGCGATACCACGATAATTATAACAATTATAACTATAACAATTGTCGCTATAATAATAATAATCAATCGAATTATGGTAGAAATAATACATGGTATGATAATTATCAAAGAAAACAAATCCAATACGGTGACGGAAATCGTAACAATTACCAATCTTATTACAACAACTCAGATAATTATAGAGGTAATGATAAGTATCAGAGAAAGCAAATACAATATAACAACAACTCAAATAATTATAGAGGTAATGATAATATTCAGAGAAAGCAAATACAATATAATAACAACTCAAATAATTATAGAAGTGGCGACGAAAATAATAAAAAGCAAATACAATACAATAATGATTACAACATGAATATTGAAGAAATTATTGAAGAGAAAGTTGATTCTACAAAGAACAAAGATGATAATGATTTTAATGTCAACAATTTATCTGGTGACGTGATTAATGACAATGATAACGCATTTATGACTACTGTAAAAGTGAACGATGTTGTTACTTGTATGCAAGTGGACACTGGATCCAAATACACTATCATACCTCATGGTCTGGCTAAAAAACTTGGTATTAGAGATCTTAAGAAATCCGAGCTACAACTCACTGCTTATGACGGGAATTTAATCAAAATCATAGGAACTACTCAAGTTAAAGTGACTTATGATGGTATGTCCAAATATTTACAAGCGGTAGTGGTTGAATCAAGTAAAAATGCTTTGTTGGGACGTATGTGGATCAATGCTTTCAAAAATATTTTAAATAAATTTATAGCAAATATTGACACTAATTACGAAGATGAAATAAAAAAATTGATTAAAGAGTGTGAATCGAAATTAACTAATGGGCCAATCAACAAAGCAAGTGTCAAGTTACATTTAAGAAATGATGCCCAACCTAAAATTATACCGCCTAGACGTATTCCTTATTCAAAAATTAATCTTGTTAGTAATGAACTTAAAAAATGGATACATGATAAAATTATTGAGCCGGTGAATGATGTCCGATGGGCAAGTCCTGTTACCGCTGTCTACAAAGAAGATGGGAGCATTAGGCTTTGCGCTGATTTTAAGGATACTGTAAACCCAGCTCTAGAAGACTTTAGATACCCTCTACCACGAATTAATGATCTAATTGCTAAACTTTCGGAAGGAAAGAAATTTACGAAGATTGACTTTAAAAATGCTTTCTTACAGATTCCAATTGATAAAAGTTGCAGAAATATTTTAACCATATCTACGCATAAGGGATATTACCAATTTACTAGACTTCCTTTTGGGCTTAAGACCTCATCTGCAATTTTTCAACAGATTATGGATCAAATCTTAGGGGACATGGATGACGTTATATTTTATATTGATGATTTACATATAACTGGAAAAAACGATGAAGCCCACCTAAACAACATAAAAAAAGTGTTTGATAGAATATCATCGTTTGGGCTAATACCTAACTTTAATAAAAGTGTGTTCTTTAAAAACAAAGTGAGGTTCCTGGGTCATGATATTGACGCTAAGGGGATTCATGCTAATCACGACAAAATTGAAGCAATAATTAATATGCCAGAACCAAAATCAGCTGCTGAATTATCAACATTTCTGGGAATGGCTGGCTACTATAGAAAATTTTTGAACAATTTTGCGGAAATTGCCGATTCTCTTTATAAGATTGTCAATAAAGAAAAATGGGCTTGGAATCTAGAACACTCTAAAAGTTTTAATGATCTAAAGAAGTTAATTAGTCTTCCACCTGCTTTGACATATTTTAACCCTGAATTACCTATAGGGATAGCCACTGACGCATCAAAATGTGGTTTAGGAGCTGTACTATTTCATATTGAAAAAGATGGTAAAGAAAAACCTATAGCTTTCGCGTCGAGAACTTTATTAAAATATGAAATGAATTATACCAATATTGAGCGTGAGGCTCTCGCTATAATGTTTGCCATAAAGAGATTTCAGGAATATTTAATCGGCACAAAATTTACAATTATTACTGACCATAAGCCTCTAGTTCACATCTTCACCAAGGGTCTTAAGGATAATAGCACTATGTCGTTAAGACTCCAGAAGTGGAATATTACATTAGGAGGATATGATTTTAATATAAAGTATAAAGCCGGTAAATATAATGTTGTTCCTGATTGCCTTTCAAGATTACCACAAGAATGTCGTGATGAAACTATTGAAAATGTAACCATTATAAATGAATATGAGGATTTACCTATTAACTTTGATCAAATCCGTGATGAAACTTTGAAAGATACGGAATTAAAACAAGTCATAAATGATATTAATAACAACAGACCTATAATGAATAATATTTATAAAAACATTGAATTGGAATTAAGTATAATTAAAGAATGTCTTTACAAAAGCAATAAAATTATAATTCCGTCTTCTATGAGAAAAACTATACTACAGTCATTACATGAAGGTCACTTGGGAGCAGGAAAAATCAAATCCTTAGCCAAAGATTACATGTGGTGGCCTGGCATAAATAATGATATTGTTATGGAAGTGAAAAGTTGTGATGATTGTAATATATATCACGATAATCCTATAAAGATACAAAAACCATGGGTTTCGGCAACTAAACCGTTTGAAAGGATTCATATAGATTATGCGGGTCCGTTTTTCACAAAAAATTGGTTGATAATAGTCGATGCCTACAGCAAATTTCCAATTATTATTCCTGTTAAAAATATTACGACTAATGTTACTTTAAAAGAAATCTTTAAAACTATTTCGCTATACGGAATACCTGAAACTATAGTTACTGATAACGGTACTAACTTTACGAGTAATGATTTTGAAAAATTTTGCAACAATTTTGGTATTAAACATGTGCTTACATCTGCTTATCACCAGCAATCCAATGGCCAGGTTGAACGCATGGTTAGAACGTTCAAAACACACATGAAAAGGAATATTAAAATAGACCCAGATATCGCACTTAGCAAATTTTTACTTAATTACAGAAATACGCGTAATGATACTACAGGAGTTACACCATCACAGAGAATGTTTAATCGAGATATTAGAATTAAATGGGACTTATTAAAACCGATGGAGGAAAAGAAGAATAAAATAAACGTTACTTTACCACGAAATAGAACTTTTAACGTAGGAGATTTTGTTTGGTATAAAATACAAGGTGATGATAAATGGTGCAAAGGTATAATCACACATAAGGAAAGTGATATGTTGTTCCAAATTAAGACTGAGAAAGGTATTTTGAGGAGACATTTAGATCAAATAAGAATTAGAAACTGTTTTAACACAATTATTAACTATGACTCTAAGGATTCTTTTAAGGAGGGAAGTATGGACAAAAATATAAAAATTACTGATAATAACGATATAACACCTATCTCTAGACCTGTGCGAATAAAGAAAAAACCTGTTTATTTAAAAGATTATGTAACTTAAAATATAAAATAAATATTAAATTGCATAAACTAAATTAAATATTAAAACGCTAAAAATATAACAATCTTATTGATTTATCATTCTTCATTTATTCTTATGACGAACTATTATTTCTTATTCGCAACTTATTTATGATAATAACAATTTTGGAAAAATGATAATTAACAATTGAGTACTATCAAACAAGCTATGATTAATGGAGACAATTTACGATATGGATATCAAGCTTGCGATTTAAACAAACCACCGTGCAAAATCGATTTATACAAACCAACGATTGGACAAGCCAACGTTATGATGATTTGTGATACAACTTGATTACCAAAATTATAAACCACTTGAACAACAAACTCTCTATGACTTCTCCGATGAAATTATCAGAAGAGGGAGAATGTTGCGTTATTCCTTTATCTTATTTTTTGTTTTTTGCATTTGAACTTTTATTATTTTTGTTATAATCTAATTTTATTTTATAAACGGCGTAACCTTACTTTTTTAATATTATTTTACTTTTTTGTATTTCGTTTTATATTCTAATTTATATTTTAGAAAAGGTATTTATACCTTAAGAAAAGAAAAAGGAAGTTAGTTAATAAAATATATTTTTTATTTAATAAAGTTAATAAAACATATTTATTATTCACCGGCACATATTCATGTTATTCTACAGAATCACATTAACCCGCATTCACATGTTAGCGCGAATTCGGGGTAAAGTATACAAAAATGTGATATAAATATAATAATTTTACAATCATTTTTGTAACATTGCCGCTAATTCTCGCTAACTGTGAATGTAGGGCAAGACCCATCCTTATAAAAAATAATATTAATTTTTACATCTTATATCCTTTTCTTAGGCCCTGAATTCGGCGTACAACTACATATTTTATCCGTACAAAAGTTTTTTGGGAACTATTCACGTCAAATTGCTCTGCACTTACTTGGGTTACAGGGGCCTGGCTTTGGTGTTCCAGGAGTTGCTTAAACGGATCAAAGACTTGGTAAAGTTCCCCAGTTCGATTATAATATTTATTTATTGTGTTAGATAATTTATATTAAAAAAAAAATTCGAGCAGTCAATTTCATTATTTTTTTATTATTTAAAATTGTGGCATTGGGTATAGTTACTTATAAATCCTTCAAACACATAAGGTAGAAATAGAAAGCCTTCATAGAGCTGGTGTTAGTTTATACGAGATGACTTTGGTGTTTTGTAAAATCTTGTATCCCAAATAATATAAGTCGTGAACAACAACTAACATTTATTCATTCACTTTAAAACAATTGATCTTGTACAAGGCTAAATAAAACTAAATTTATAGACAAACAATTTATATTTGTAACAAAACTAAATTGATATTTTTAAGCACAACTTCAATCCTCTTTGATACCTCTCTGTGGGGGGGGGGGGATCTTATTCGAGAAGGGTATAACTTTTTCAGCTGTTCTGTCTCCACTAGAAGTGTCGCATCGTTCAAGTGTTCTGCGGCCTATTATGGTGTGCTTTCTTTTGAATTGTATTTTCTATAATAATCGAGTTTTTTTAAAAAAAAGAAGGATTTTCATAACGTAATTAATAATAACGATCAGCTGACATCAATTAATCACCGTTTTCATATTTTTCGTTTTTTACGATCATCAATTTAGCGTTATTTAAAATAATATAAGAGTTGCTATTTTTTGATAATAAATTTAAACAAAGTCGCTTATTTCTTCATTTAGGCCGAGGCCACTTATAACCACAAATTACTTTATAATTTCCCTAAATTTTTCTAAAAAGGGTTTGTTCGCCTCAAAACCTTTTATTTTTTTTTATATAAAACTAAATATATGAAACAGGGATTTGTAAGGCGTTAAGATTTTTTTTTGGACATGTTGCAAGGGCCCGCCCTTTAATTTTTTTGTACGAATTGCTCTGATCCGGCGCGTTAAATTTTTTGCCCAACCGGTTATGACGGCTTAAATATTTGCGGCTTTCGGACGGGGCGAGGAGGTTTTTCTGATTCTCTAATATAAAATGATCCTTAAATATTATCCTAATTCCTCAAATTCAAAATCTTTCCAAAAAAAAGTTATTATATAAATTGGAAGAGAGCTTTTTTAGTTAAATCACAAAAAATATTTTAGGAAAAATGGAGGGGAGGGGAGCGGATCCTAATAACGAGATTAGATCAAAAAAAATCTAAATATTTAATTTTTTGTTTGGTAATTTATATCAAAATGGCATTTAAGATGACGGGCGAATTACTGGAACACGTGACGGCGTTGATGAGGCTGATGCCTAAGCAATCTAAGCTTTTGCGTTACGATTACGGATCGGCTGGTTAGAGGCTATCCCATAAATTTATTTATTTCATACCAATCATTTTCTTAATTATTTTTACTGGTAAAGATTGAGGACAGTTGAATAAAAAATGAGAGCTGATCACTAAATATGTGAATGGCAATCTTTATATTTAAAGCAATATTCGAATATTATTTATTTAGGTATTTTGGCTTACTACCAAGCCCAGCTGAAAGAAATCCTAAAGTACCCCAACCTGAAAACCGGAACTTTTCAATTATTTAGGGAGATCGGTAACTGTCTCCTCTTCGCTTTGTGTTTGGAAAAGAATTTGGTTTTTTTTCTCTCCTTTATATATATATATATTTGATAACTCTAATTGTTTGCCTTTTAAAGGGTCTATATAGACTCATCTTTCACTGTGCTATTCAACCAAGGGGTTAAAAATTTTAATGATTTATCTGCTAAGCTATTGGACAAATGTTGGAAATTATTCGCTCTTATTTAGCGTTGCACTGGATATTGGAATCTTATTAATTTAACTGCCTTCCGGTTTTTAAACATTAAATTAGCTCTAATTTAGCAATGAATCGATTATCAAAATCTTATTAACTTAACTGCCTTATGGATATTAGACATTAATATATGACCGGTTCCGCTAAAATAATTTGTTCTCTTAGTTGGCATCTAATTACTTAACCAAGACGCGAACCATTTTAATTTAAAAAAATACCAACCTAATTAATATTGTTTTTATTTATCCATAATTTGTATACCTCTTTATACCTTTCGTTCATTTATTTTTCTTTGGCACATAAGTTCGAAGAGGAAACGATAGATTTGTTACAAGCCTCCATCTTTCAAAACGTTATACCTAGACCTTATTGCCCCGGTTTGTTTAGTCATTTTATTATTTATTTATAGTTATATTAACTTTGACTGCAGTTTTCTTAGTTTAAATTTTCTTTGTTGATTTAATTGTTTGTCCTGTAAAAGGTTTACTAGGCCTCGCCGACTGCGAGGCTTAACTCTGCATTTATAGTAAGCGCGATTTGCACAGTCGATGCCAAATTAATCGTTGCGATTAATATAACTTGCACAGCCCTAATAATTTTTCACCGATCCGATATTATTAAAAAACCGTCCGTATTACCATATATCTGTGTAATAATGCCATTAATATATCAATTAACTTTCACGAATGATTAAGTGTATTTTATTTTTTTATTTTTTTCATAAGTTAATATTCTCATTTTAAATATTTGCGATGTTTATGGGTGAATGTAGTGTTGTTAAACAGTTCCTTTTAGCCAATTCTTAAAAAGGGTCAAATCAAAATTTTAAAATATTATTTACTTATGCCTCGAAATTTCGCCAATAGATGTCCAAACCTTTCTGATATCTGTGGGAAAGATTCATAGAAATTGGTAATTTACTCTTGGCCAGAATTTTGAGTTAATCGTTTTTAAAGTTGGTTAAAATCGAGCCGTTCAGCAACACTAACTGATCGTGACTCGTTAGATATTTTTTAAAAACCTTTCTTTTTTTGCAGATAATATAACACAAAAATAGTGTAAAATTTTAAAACTATTTTTTTAAACATTACAAACAGATAAATTGTATATTAGTTCCTTTCATTAATTTATTATGAAATTATTTATTAAATAAAATAAAAAATTATATGATTATATATACAATTATAAATATAACCAAAAACAGTAAAAAAAATATCGGATCGGTTTTAAAAAAGATCTACCCTATCCGATATCATATCGGATTCGGTTTTTAAAAAAGATCGGTGTGATCCGATATTTTTGAAAGCTTTAAATATCGGTGCCGATCAGATCCTATATTGAATATCGGCACAACCCTAACTATGATGCAGATCTAGCATGGCAAAATAACAATTCAAAAAAAATAGATATTATTAACATCGATAATTTTATTTATCGGTAAGAATGTTTTGTGTGAGTATTGAGTACATGTTTTTTCTCTTTCTTTCGATAATCTAGAGGGTGAAAAGATTGAACAAAAATTGAAGCTTCTGGAATCAAAATGCAATGCCCTAAATATCGCGATAAACGTGGAGAATTTTGGATCCGCTAAAGTTATCATCTTGAACTTATATTTTTACGATTACCTATCTTGCACGTTAAATTTAATAGTTTTAGATTAAAATCTTAAATCAATTAATGACTTGATTTATAAAAAATTTTTTTTAGCAAACTCATATAGCCAAGGAGAGCGATTTACTCACCAAGGAACGTCTATGTTGTGGTCTTTCCTTGTTTCAAACGATGTTGCTCAAGATATGCCGTTTCTTCCAAGATGCAAAAACAGATGACGGTATTAACGTTTGGACTGGTTCTGAGCCCCTTAACACGAGGTTCGATACCTGCACTGAATTTCACAGACTATGGAGCGCGTTGCAGTTTGTGTATTGTCTACCCCTGGGGGAAAACGAATTTACTATTGAGTAAAATGGAGTCATTTTTTATTAATTATAAAGGAGATTTTTTTTAAGGTATCTGGTTTACATTATAAGAACTCTTAGTAAGGTATTTAAAAATTATATATATATTTTATTGAGTTCTAATGTTAACAGGAATAGGAATATGAAGAATTTGTTCGTATATATATTCCAGAGAAGTAGGTTCTAAAAGGGTATGGGCGTAAAAAAATAAATTTGAGGGTTGGGGATAGAGAACTGCACGGGCTGTCCGTAGCCCGTCCCGACCCGAACCTCGGGCTCGGGTCGGGTTCGGACATTTAAAAAAAAATTTCTCGGGCTCGGGTCGGGTTGTAAAAGCTGTCCGACCCGAAAACCCGACCGGACCCGAAAATAAATAATAATATTAATATCTTAAATAGTCAGTATAATTTATAATATTATTTATAAAATCATACTATTTAATATTTATCACATTTTAGGATTAAAATGTCAATCATATTAACATGTCATGTCATGACATTATTAATTATTATTTTTTAAACCTAACAACCGGATACCAAACTATTTTATCACTAAATTGTGTGTTTCCCGTGAATTATAAAATAAGACATATTATATGTACTAAAGATAAGTTTTATTCATTATTTATTATTTATCTAGCCTATACATTGTCTTTTTTAGCATTTGTTTTAAAAAATTTCCATATAAAATTTAAGATTGGGATTTGATTCAGGGGAACTTACTTCTATAATTTAAATTTCACTAGCATAAATGTTAATCATCCTAGAAATTAAAAAATATTATATAAAATTGGTAATGATATTCTAAGTTACATTTATATATAAAATATAATCTTTACTTCGTTTTGGTATTATTATTTTTTTATCTAGCTACCTTAATATGAGTTGTAAATTTTCTAGCTAATTTTGGTTGTCAATATTTTAAAATATGGCAGAAAAAAATTAGGAAATAAATACAAGATTCTCAAAGAAAATAAGATGTATACTGTGATATGTAAAATTTAAAACATGAATATTAAAATGAATCTGTATCTGTATCTTTTGTCAAGAAAATGAAAAAGATACAAGATTCTTTTCAGAATTAAGGATCTTAGATACAGATATTATGTATGTTATTAAAAATGTCAAAATATACTGAGTACAAGATATAAAGGGATCTTGTATCATGTATCTTAGATACAAGTATTCGCAGTACTGCCCAACTCTGTTTATTTCAATCTAATTGATTAAAGTCATTTTAAATATTTTTTTTAGATTTTAGACACAGCCATATTAAAAAAATTATCTCAAGGGATGCAAAATTAAAAAGAATTGGTGAAAAGATTAAGACAAAAGAGTATGAAGTAAGGGAGAATCTTAATGGAAAATCCGATGTATGGAAGAAATTTTCATTTATATATGATGAAAATAAAGAAAAGCTTAATTATGTCATTTGTATTAAATGCAAATTTATTTATGTATATAATTCAATAACAACAGGTTAGATATTTATATATAAAATATGATCTTATTAAATTATTTTAGGCACAAATCAACTTAAAAGACATAAATGTGTATATACAAATACAAGTACAACAGCAGAGAGTAAAAAGACACAATTAACAATTGATAGTCTTTTTGGTACTGATCCGAAAAAACTCAAAAGTTGTACAAAATTGAAAAAAGAGTGCACAAAGGTGCTTGTGGACGTGATTTGAGATCATTTGATACAATTCATGGGGAAGGCTTTGTTGCCAATATTTTGCCAAAAGTATTTTAGCTCTTAAATTCCTGGCTATCCCTGCTTCGTCGGCTAGCAGTGAAAGGGCGTTTTCAGCTGCTGGTAGGGCCTTTGAGGAGAGAAGGACTCGTTTAAAGCCAGATAAACTGGACGCCTCTTTATTTATATATCATAATTATTCACTTTGTGATAATTTTGATAATGATATTGATGAGGTCAATATAATATAATATGTTCATTATATTTTTTATATATTTATTAACTTTTATATCATATCTATATTTGCATAAATGATGCTTATTGTATTATATAATCGTTATAATTTTTAAATTCGCTTGTATATTAATCGTTTTATAATATTTTTTACAAATTTAATAAAATGCAACTTAATATATATCTTGAATAGATTATGGCCGTCAAATAAACTTTTATTTAAGGTGGCTGAATTGAATAAATACACATAAATTTTTTTTTGGTTATTATAATATTAAAACTTAAATTGCAAAATTTTATTCGGGTCGGGTTGGACTAAAAAATGTGTGCTCGGGTCGGGCTCGGACAAAAAAATTTTTTAAATTCGGGCTCGGGTTGCGAAAAAATTACTTTGCAGTTCTCTAGTTGGGGATAAAAGATTTACTTATTTTCTCTCATGTCTGGTAGGTACAGCTAAGGATGGGATTTATCATTTTTATTCAAATATAATAGTAAAGAATTTGTAATCTCCCCCCCCCCCCCATTCTCTCTAAAAAAAATTAGACAATTGTATGGAGAAAGTATTAATTTGGCCGGGTGCGCGTTCATCTACCTTTTGAATCAACAAAACCGGTTCGAAACGCTTGATTTTTCTTATCATCTGCTCAAAGTGCAACGAGTCGATAACCGCGAGGACAAGAAGAACGGCGTTGTAATGAAAAAGATTTTTTTTTTTTTAAAAAACATTTTTTTAAATTTTATATTGCAAGACTTACTTAACTCGGTCGTAGGCCTATTCAAAAACGAATACGAACCTAATGGCGCATTATTTTTATTCTATTTGAATTGTTCGAATTATATTGACAGAATTTAGTTTAGAATTCGAATCATTAAAATGGGCCGTTAGTCTTAAAAAGGGGAACCTTAGTTGAGCTGGTCTAAATGTGAGATGAAAAATGTGACTCTTATTTTTTGGATATTTGTATTTTCTTTGTCAACTGTTCTTTTGTGCAAATGTATTATCTATATATATATATATATATATATATATGTATGATTTAAGAGTTATGGAGTATATTGATCATGGAAATTATATGAAAATGTTATCCGTTGTTCTTCCTCATAGCCTCGTTTTTAGGCATTTGATATTGAAGATCATCTTCATTCTCCATGAATATTTTACAATCATAAATGAGATTGGCTTATAGTCTATTGTTATGGTGTACGATTGTGATGTGTTTTTATGTATATCATTCTAATAATTTAACTAAAAGATTATTTAAATTTTCTGCAGTAATCAGTTCAAAGGTTTTTTTTTATTGCTAGTGTTTCTAGCAATTTTTGCTCTGACTCCTATCTAGATAATTAACACGATAGTTTTTTAGGGATACTAATTTATATTTCATTTGTTATATTTGACGAATAGTTAGCAGGGCTAATTATGCTATATTTGATTGAATTTTATTGAGAAGGAATTGTGATATTTTTTCTCCATGCTTTCTAAAATAGGATGAAACATCTCTCTAAATCCGCTATCACCCGGAGCATATTATAATATACACTCGTGATACAAGTAAGCCCATCCCTTAGACTGTCGATTTTGAACCTCTCGGGACTCCCGACATTTAAGTTACCAGCAATATATTAGAAGTCCTAGCTCTTTAATTAAATTATTTTGAAAATAATTATATTTTAAATAAGTTAATGCTAACTCCTATTATGTATTTATATTTTTTGACATTAATTATAATCCGATTGACATAAGCAAGAATATGCAATATAGAATTTTTTTGTAATAAGAGTTATTGCATCGTTAAGCTTAGACTTTTTTCCACACGAGTTATCTGTAAAAACAGTTGAAACATTTTTATACCTAAGGAATTTCATCTTTCTTTTTTTTTACTTTGCCTTTTTGTATGACCGATCACCTAGGTTGGGATCATGAGAAGACACGCTACAGACTTATTTATAGATATATAAAAAATACTATGGATTCCCCCCCCCCGTCATCGTTATATTTCTTTTTTTGTTTTATAGCTATTTATATAGTTGTACACATTAATATGGTTCAGGAATTTTAAACTCCATTTTATCAAAAATCAATTTTCTATAAGAGGTCCGAATCCTCCTCAGGTCCATATTACCCCGGGTTTGATGGGTTGCCAGTATATCGGTCCGTGTTAGTTCTATGATCTCAATAAGACTCTCCAGTATCCTGTATTATATATCATTCACTAAATCGGTCCTCGAACCCGCAAAATGAAGCTTGGGAATTCCTATAAACATGTTCCCTAGGTCTGGTAATCGGTCCCTTACTATCATCGATTAATTTATAAAGATAATTGGAAGGGAAAAAAATCGAACATCCGGGCTATCTTAAAATTATTATTTTATAAAAAAAATGATCTTAAAACATTAAATACTATTTTTATTTATAATGATAATTATTGTGTGGTATTCATATTTATGTTGTTAGCAAATATTATATTATGAGTAGTGTTTATAAACGGCTCGTTTTGTGCCAAATTTTTTAAACAGCTAACTCAATATTTTAGCCAGAAGGAATATTTTCTAAGCCTCGATATTTCGATAATATATGTCTTGACCTTTGTTCCTTCTATGAACAAAATCTTAGGATTTGCGTAATTTTTTTCTTTATGAAATATTGAGAGTTAGCCGTTTTTAAAAATCTACTCAAAGCAATAATTATGAGATTGAACAAATAAAAAATATTCCTTGTTTATTTGCGTTGTTGTAATTGATAATACAATGTAAATTTTAAGAAAAATTATATTTATAAAAAATTAATGTATCACGCTATCTAGCGGCGATATTTATATGAAATTATTTTACAATTAAAGGTAAAGGTTTTTTTAAAATGATTAAAAATAAATATTTGTAATATTTTAAAAATATCTTGATATGCTAACACAAATTGAAATGTCATTATAAAATATTTTAGTGTATTTTATTTTTATTATCATAATTAAATTGTTTAGAATAGAATATATATAAAAAAAAATATTTTCTTATAATAATAACAATCCTAAATTTTAACGTATGTTATAGATGTTGAAAAATAATATTTTAAATATTACTTAAAATAAAATTATTATAAATTCAATTTTTAATTATTTGTTATCGGCTTTATAAAATAATCAATTTGTAAAAGAGTACCATTTGCACAGCGCGGATTAAAAAAAAATTCAGGTTTGGTATTTAAAATATTCAGCCCGGGTATTTTAAATTTTTTAGGCCCGGCCCGAGTATATTTTAAAAAAAATACGACTCGGGTACCCGGATTTAGGGCCGGACCTGCAGATTTTGTCCCTGATCTATATCGATTCCCTAACCTGATGAATTTCATAACGAAAAAAAACTCTTTTATGTTTTGGAAAAAAATCTTTTCAAGTAAATTTATTAGTAATTTTCATGCATAAAAAAGTCTTTCAAAAATGAAATTATTATTTATTTTTTTTCAAACTCTAATCTTGTGAAGACATATTTTCATTGGTAAATACAAATTAATCAACTCAAATTAAAACTTATGGCAGGATAGTAATTTTAATGACAAATAATTGTAAAAAGTAAAAGATCTTGGGCATAGGGAAAAACATAATTAATAAATTTATGGTAACTCGCATGCGCAATAATAATACACAAAAACTCTGGTTGCTTAATCTATGTCCTATCTGGGGATGTTGACGCGATGCATATATTGTTTATTTATAAGTAGTATAGTTATCTCTGTAATATATTAGTGTCTCGCCGTCGTTTATTTATATAGGAATAGTTATTATTTTTTTTATAATATTATTTTGCAATGTTATTTTTTTTAGAAAAAATAATGTTTATTTTTTTTTAATATAATATAAATAGTGTAGAAAAAAAATAATAGAGGATGATCTTTGATTCATTTTTTTTTTGAAAAAAGAGAAATAAATATTATTGAATATTATTGAGGTTTATTTTTTTTGTTTAATTGATTTTTCTTTAGTAAAAAATTGTTTTAAAAAAAAAATTAATTACTTAATAAAGTTTGTTTTTCTCCTTGTGATAAAAGTATATTTAAAAAAGAAAAAGATTCGATTAATCTTGTTAGGTACAAAAGAAAAAGAAATTGAAAATTTAAATTGATAATATAAAGCTTATCGTTTTCGTTCCGAACCCCTGTCCCCTATAAACTTTCCGTTTGTCAGTCTTTCTGATAAATTATAAATCTAATACTTCAACTCTTTCCCCCAATTTTGCTATTATCTCCACCCTACCCATAGCCGCCATCAGTGTCCCATCAAACTGTCTTATCCTTAACCCCTCATTCTCTATCATTTCCCCCGGCCAAATACTTTGATATCTATTATATCCAATTACTGAAATAGCTGCCCCCGTATCAAATAACATGGGAATAATCTTCCCCCCCCCCTAAATTAATCATTACTCTCGGGCAAGGATCATTAATTATCCCATCTTGCAACATATTAAAACCCCCTCCCTATTAGTTATCTTCCGAAAAAATCCCTCCTCTGTTCTTCCTAACCGCCATGCCCCGATCCGTAATGTCGATTTTTTGCCATCATATAGTCACACATTCTCACAGTCCCTCGCCATATGTCCCGCCCTTCGACACCTAAAACACTCCATATCCATCTCCCCCGTTTCCTTGACATTGATCGCAGGAACCCCTTCCACTTTCTCTCGCTTAATAGTCCTTACATTTGAAGCATTTGGACCCATCCCCCTCTCCGGAAAACCATTCTTATTACTGTAACTGCTTACATTACAATCCTCTTTATTATGTCCAAAGCGTCCACAACCCCACATCTCAACCTTTCCTGTTTGCCAGGACAGTAAGGGGCTATATGACCAAATTTCCCACAACCAAAACACTTTGTATCACAACAATCTCTAAGCATATGACCTGGTTTACCACAATTATAACAATTCATTCCCCCCTTTCCTTTGCGGCTCAAAACTCTGTCTTATTTCCATTCTCCTTCCCCTAGAGTACTCTTTTGGTTCTCTATAAGGTCTCAATGCCCGATTATCATTACAATCCTGCTTGTCAGCTACATATAAACTTCTGCTTATATCGCTATCCGTCCACCCCCTAATTAACTCCTGAACCGGCAACCATGTTACTCTGCCCATCATATCTTCCTCTCCATTATGCCCCTCAATGTTTAAAGTTTGTCCTTTGATTTTTACACTGCGACTTCTCTTCATTCTCCTGCCCCAAATTAAACTACAAATCCATATAATTAATATCACCAACGTCCCAAAAATATTATACTGGACCTCCCAATACTTAACAAATTTTAAGCTTTTCATCCGAACGTTATAAAAAATTTATTATTAATTTTGAAATGAAAATCTTGGTTATTTGTAAAGTTAATAGATAAGATATTATTAATAACGTAAACAATCCAATAATGCACATATACATGCAATGCAACAATCTCAAACAAATTAATCAATATACCTATTATTGATAGGATGTTGTCTAAATTGCTCTCCGCGAATTTACCGTGTATTTTGATTTCTTTAATCTAAACTGGTAGTACCTCTGTGTAATTTATTTTTTCGAAAAATTTGGACAGCACTACCGTACAATTATGGTTTAAGAAAAATTTGGGCAGCACTTCCGTATATTTAAGCTTCGCGAATAATTTGGGCAGCACTTCCGTGTATTTAAGCTTCGCTAAAAATTTGGGATTTTCTATTCTTAAACTTCCGCCGCACGGGTAACCTAAATTCTCACCAAAGGAATTTCTATTCTTAAACTTCCGCCGCACGGGTAACCTAAATTCTCACCAAAGGATTTTCTATTCTTAAACTTCCGCCGCACGGGTAACCTAAATTCTCACCAAAGGATTTTCTATTCTTAAACTTCCGCCGCACGGGTAACCTAAATTCTCACCAAAGGATTTTTTATTCTTAAACTTCCGCCGCACGGGTAACCTAAATTCTCACCAAAGGATTTTCTATTCTTAAAATTCCTTTTTTTTACGATATGCTCGTCTTGGCCACCAATTTATCAGAAAGACTGACAAACGGAAAGTTTATAGGGGACAGGGGTTCGGAACGAAAACGATAAGCTTTATATTATCAATTTAAATTTTCAATTTCTTTTTCTTTTGTACCTAACAAGATTAATCGAATCTTTTTCTTTTTTAAATATACTTTTATCACAAGGAGAAAAACAAACTTTATTAAGTAATTAATTTTTTTTTTAAAACAAATTTGTTTTTTTTTACTAAAGAAAAATCAATTAAACAAAAAAAATAAACCTCAATAATATTCAATAATATTTATTTCTCTTTTTTCAAAAAAAAAATGAATCAAAGATCATCCTCTATTATTTTTTTTCTACACTATTTATATTATATTAAAAAAAAATAAACATTATTTTTTCTAAAAAAAATAACATTGCAAAATAATATTATAAAAAAAATAATAACTATTCCTATATAAATAAACGACGGCGAGACACTAATATATTACAGAGATAACTATACTACTTATAAATAAACAATATATGCATCGCGTCAACATCCCCAGATAGGACAATCTATATGGGTTTATTTAAATCCACCCCTATTTTTTAAAAAAAATAATCAATGTGGATCAAAATTTTAAATAGTCAAAGTTCAGGAAGGACTTAGGTAAGCAAAATATAAGTTAAATAACAAATTGCAATATTAATCACCACTTGTTTGACAAAAGAAGTTTATTTTTTATTTCAATTTTTGACATAGTAAAAAAATAACTGCTAATCTTCTTAATCGCAATAGTGAAAAATTATTTAATATTTTAAATATGAAGCGAAATTAATATAAAAAATCTACACATATTTAAAAAAAAATTTATATTTCTTTATAATAAAAAAATCAATTAGTTTGTAAAATTAAGAAATAACATATATTAAAAATCACAAGTAATATCTATATCGCCGACATTAATATTAGAATTTAATTGTTTAAATAAAAAAAAGTAATTTTCCTGCCTTTTCTGTTCCTAACCGATTCCTAAGCTTCTAGGAAGAACTCCAAACGAAGAGAATAATCTCTCAACTGCGGATGATGAAGATGCAGTAAATAGTTGTTTTATTATTTTTAGATCCTTAATCAACTTTCATTAGGCCACTCACCATTTAATTGTGTATACTATATTATCCGAAAATATAATTATAGTAAATAGCACTGATCTTGCTTGAAGCTTTACCAAGATATATAAAATCTCAGTGTTTGAATAAAGAAGCCCTGCGTATTCTATTGCCGTTTCCATTTCATTGTTTGTTAAATTTGAACGATGAACGATATTTCGGGTTTAAAAGATAGGATCAGAAATGTGCAGGCGTTAAAGCCTGATTGTATCGTTTAGTAAAGGATGAATTTTATTATTAGCATGTAATTTGGTGAAAAACTTTTGCAAATTTTGAAACATTTCGCAATTGGTTTTTATGATTTCAATGATATCTTCAGCATCTCTTTTGAATTGTAATATTTTCAATCCTTTTTTTCTAATTTGCAATGTCGGTTTTATTTTGATTGCTTTCACATATCTTAAATAATTTTGTTCATTCCGGTATATAGGCATTTAAACTACAACTGAGTTCAAACGAATATCTTGTGGAGTGACAAGAAATTCGCCCTCCTTCTTGTTTCAGTTTAAAATTTGTATAAAACTGATCATTTTTGAAATACTTTACCACACTATTTGTTTCCTGCTACTTTTATTTTCCCAAATTTTTTGATAGTAGATTTAAAAAATGACCACTACACCCATAGGTCATTTTATGATCTTTATTATTTCTTTTTAAATTATTTACTTTTATCATATTAGCCGCATTGATTGGCTCTTTTGAAATAAATAGATCAATTTACACAATATTTAATTTTTAACAATTTCCTGACTTGTTCCCTTGAGAATTAGTTATTTACTTGCATATTTTACAATTTTAGCCCATAATTTTTTTTATTTTATTTGGTTTAAATCGTGATTTAAATCAAAAAAATCTAACCAACTCTAATTCAAACCGAACCCAATTTAATATTTATTATGACCCTTACATTAAACCTCAATTTTTTAATCTAAGCCGAACTTACTATGTTCGTTACGGTTCAGAATTTGACGTCTAAAAAAATATATTCCGGCCGGGTCGGGCTAAAGCATTATAGGACTGAATTGTCGATGAATTCTGATGTTTGATAGAGTGATATTCCATAAAGTGATTATCCTTAAAATCACTCCCTGATATGTTAAATAGTTGTTTAATAGAGTGATTATCCTTAAAACCACTCCCTGATATGATAAATAGTTGTTTATTTTGGTGTTCAACTTCTTATATTCGGGTTAGGTCTTGCATTTAAAAAAACCGGGTCGGGCAACTTTGGTAAAAAAATGGAAATGGTCCGAGCCTGGTATATAGCCGAGCCGGTCAAACCATAAATTTTAACCGGGCCGGACCTGAAAATTTTGCCATTTCAAGATAAAAATTTTCCTATCTTCTTTTCAAGCGTAAATTCTATTATTCTCTATAACAAATTTCTTTAAAAAAATTAATATAAAAATCGCATAGAATTTGAAGAGGATGGCAGACAGAATACGAAAATTTCAGGTGCTGAATAGCCAAATTTTTTCTACACTCGGCAGGTATAAACGTTTTATTTTTACATACTTCTATTGTTTAAATAAATAATTAAAACTTATTTTATTTTTTATATTTTGAACGAATTATTTTAAAAAAAATAGGTATTTGGATCAGCCTACTCTACGCAACGCTTACGAAGAAGGGCGGAACGATAGCGAATCTAACGTGGACGGCCAGGACAAACCTCCTTCGCGAGATAACGATCCATTATGGGATAACGGCGACCACGCCTCTTCCACCATGATTGAGCATATAAAATTCTTTTCACCTCCTATACACGAACTAGCTCTACAAAATATGATCTGAAAAACGATTTTTATATTTTATCTTCATAAATTTGAATTTTATAAAGATTTGGCCGCCTACTTGCTCTTCTTGTTTCATTTTTTTCTGGAAAAATCTAAGTAGCTGAATGCGGTGCTTAGTATTTTAAAGAAAAAATTAATACATATATTTAGAGCTTATTTTAAAGTTATTATATCACTTAACGTCGAATCTTTAATTAAAAAGAAATAAAGAACCAAAAAATTAAGGGAATGGTATCCCTAGTAGAAACAAAAATTTAGACGAATCAGAAGTGAAGCTAAAATTGACTCATATTTTTCGTTTAGACTTGATATGTAAATCGTTGCTTTTATACATTGTAACTAAATTTTTAAAATATATCTCCGAATCTTTTAAAATAAAAATATCCAAGTTTTTTTCGAATCTGATTTACTTCGACGACATAATTACCACACTCAGTACATATATTTTTATTCGTATAATTTTATATAAGCTTATTTATCTTGTAATAAAAAAATAATTTAATTCGTAATTTTATACCTATTTTTTTTGTATACGATATTTATTTTTAAATGTTATCAACAATTTTTAATAAATCCTTGTTTTCAAGAACAAGTTCTTGAAAATTTTTAATATATTATCTTTCAGACCGTGTTCCTGGTTTTATTCTGTTTTAGCCGTCTAATTTAGCTCCACTCTAGTAAGCCTTAAAAGTAAGAGGCTAATCTAGATTTAAGTAGGTTAGAGTTGTCATTGTGACTCTTTCCAAATAAAACGTTTATTAATGTCCAAAATAGGGTGTCCTTAATTTTTTCAAGTTTTTATGATTTCCTTCAAAAAGAAAATTATAGGGATATATTATCCGATAAAGTAGTTTTAAAAAAACGCGCATGTTAACATAATTAAAGAATTCTCGTTTGCCATATAAAATGAGACCTTAATAAAATTAACTCAAAAATATTTTTAAAAATTCAGAAATTAATATTATATTATAATATTATATTACTTAGATATAATTTTTATTTTCTAAACTATAATAATAATATTGAATTTGATGCAATAACTATAATAAATCGCTAAATATTTGAATATTTCAATTTCCCAAACCCCATCTTATTTTAATCTTAAAAATATATTCATTTATACTAGTAATATCAGATGTTTTTAACAAGAAAATCTAAATATTGCTAAAAAAAGTAAAGAAAAGGCTTCTTAGATTATTTCAGAAAGCTGTGGCAAATGCCAAAAATATTTTCCAAGTCATCTTTAATAAAGTTTGGGTGATAAACCAAAAATTAAAATTGATAAACATAGGCTTATTCAGCGATGACACGTTGGCTTTAGAATCAGTGTTTGATTATAAAGGATTTTTTTTACCGTTATTAAAAACATTTAGGATGTGTTCTTCTTGGTCGGCTTAATATCCGGTTATTTAGTGGTCTTATGACTTTGAGTAAGTATCGCCTAAATAAAGGCAAAAGAGAAAATTTAAAAAAATAATGATAATAAAAAAATACGAAATATAATGCCAACAAATACTTAAAATAAACCAAAATAGGTTCTTTTATATAAATTTTGTATTTACAAGGTAAAATAACAAAAAATTAAACTTTTTATTACTAACTCCTTGTTAAGAGTTAATTAACACCAAATGTGTTGCACAATATAAAAGTGGTTCCATATGAAATACGGCGAACCTATCTTCATTATATATATACTATTTTTTATTCCTTAAATCTTTTTGCATTATAGATTATATGAGAGAAAGAAACTTAAATAGATATCCTAACTTATGAATTGATTTCTAAACTAAAGATAAATATTAATTAATTTTAAATATCTAAAATAACAATTGCAATTATGCTGGCAATTTTTTTTATATAAGAATAAAGCCCTTTCAAAAACTAATACCATCTATCATACATTTATTTATCGATGTACCAAAATTAATTAACTAGGAATATATGTAAAAATAGCTTAGATAACAAAGAAAAACTTGATGAATTTTGAAATAATTTTGATTTTTTTCTATTCTTTTAAATTTTTAAATATCTTTTGCTTAAATCTTCATTTGTTTAATTTTAATATCATATAAATTGTCTAATAAAGATTTCTAAACTTTATAATTAATTAGTGATATTTCAGGAATATCGAATATTAGATATTTCTACTTATGTAATTAAATGCAATATTTTAAATAAATATATTTAATTTTAATTGCTTTTCTAGGTTTCTTAAAGGTTTTCTTTGCTCTATATATTTGTGCCTAATATTATTGATATTTTCCTTTATTTATAATTGTCACATAATTAAGATTTATAAACTTAAGAATAGTAATAGTTATTCATAAGAGTTTTAATTTAGAGATATTAATAACTATTATTAAAAGTTTAAATTGAGGAATATTTATAATTATTTAAAACTGAAGAATTTTAATAATTATTGAGACTTTAGACAAGGATCATGAACATTTTTTGATTTTTTCTACAATTTGTAATTTTAAAAATTAACGTATTATTTATAATATTTAATTACATGGTATAAGTATTGGCATTTAATATGTGGAAACCTATCTTCAATATATACTATTTTTTAGTCCTTGAATCTTTTGCATTTAAGATTTTACGAGAGCATAAAACTTACATTAGATATTTTAACTTATGGGAGCCAATCGGACACTGCTTTTCGGAATAAAAATATTATTTTCGGTCCAATATTTGTACTTCGGACAGATCATAAGCCTTTGGAACGGTTGTTCGGGAAAAGAGGGATTTTCCCATGATGTCAAACAATTGTCTGACTTGTTGGGCCTGTAAGATGGCCGCGTACGATTTTAAGGTGAAATACAGATCGGGTAGTGAGAATCTTATAGCTGACGCCTTATCTATATTATACCGAATCGAAATACAAAACAAGCATTGGAATCAGCATTGCCAGGTCAAAATTTTCAAATTGCAGGAGAAATTTGGTATTATGCGGGAGAAATCGGAAAATTGCGGTAGAAATATAAATGCTAAAAAAAAATTTTTGCGGGTCTATCCGCCTATTATTTTTTATAATTAGTTTATATAAATACAAAGTCCGTAACTATTTTTCAAAATAAAATAAAATCTTGTTTTATTAAAATATATATTTATAAGAAAAAACCAACGATCTTTTTTAAATATAAAAGAATGTAAACAAGATAAAATTTTATAAAAAAAAACGATTTTAATTTTACAATTAAAAATTTATTATTTGCGAATGTCCTGCAAAACTACCGCAATTGGAAATCTACCGTGTGTGTGTATAAGATAATAGGGATAGGCGCTTAATTAACACTTATCACGTTTAAATACATAAGGTACTTCAAAAATAAGAAATAATACAGATGCAACTACAGTTGCGGTAATTGTAATCACTTACAGTGTTGTGATGATTTAATGAAACATTGATAATTAAATTAAAACCCATCCATATAAAATTATAATCTTTCCTAAAATAATTAAAACTAGTAGAAAGCCCGTCAAAAATGACGGGGAATGAGATTCATTTTTTTACGATAGATGTCATGCCAGGTCCAAGCTCACAATATTAGGAAGAAAAATTATTAAAGTTTATCAAGCCCAGCTCAACCCTTAATAATTTGTAAAAGATATTCCCATGTCAGGTGCAAGCTAATATTAATTTTGAGGTTCCAAGCCCAGTCGTATCCAATATAATTTTGAAAATTTTTTCCCACCTCAGAGATAGTTAAATTTTTAATTGATTTATCATCACATGAAGGGGAAATATCTGATTTACCAATTAGTTTAAGATGTAAAAAAAACATGTGAATTCCGTATTAAGGGAAACTAGGAAGGCCTGGGCAAACCACTTATTAGAGAATCATGACAAATAAAATAAAATAACCGATTTGGTAATATGATCAATTAAAATTATATATAAAAAATAAATTGTTGTTTATTATAAACTTTTCGGATAAATTTAATGTATGTCTTGCATTTCCCAAATTATTTATATTTTATGTTAAGTAAAAAAAAAATGCTATCTACTTAAATTACAAAAATGCCATTAAACACTAATGAAACTTATATGCAAATTATATATATATTTTTTTTAAGAAAATATTTTTTATTGACATATAAATTTAGGCTAATTTTTTTTAAAAATAATGAGGAATAATTATTATGTTGTGTATTTGAAAAAATTAAAAGCAAATCCTTGTTGACATTTTATTTTTGATGGAAAAAGCGACAAAATAAATCTGGAAGGTCGTCTGGAGAGGAAATAATTAATGTACAATTTCATATCATTTAGGGTTGTAGATGAAGTAATGACGGATTACCAAAGCAGTGTACAAATCCTGATAAAGATGAGCCATATGCCTATGCCTTGGGATACTGGTAAAAGAAGAACGCAAAATGATATTTCTGTCAATGTCAGCATTGGTAGCCCTCTCTAAAATAGAATCATGAACGACAATGTTAACTCAACCATAAAAAGATAGTAAGAATTGTTATAAAGGCCACGACAGAACTACTGCTTATTTTCCCATTAATAAAGTTGATGAAAATTGCTGTACTACACATTCAAGTTAGAACATTCCTCTAAATAATCATTAAAGTTTTTCAGATAATCGGATAAAGTAATATTTATAATAACTCCTAGTGAAGTGAATGATAGTATGGAATTGAATGCTTATATTTGTTAAAAAATAGTGAGAGGTGGCATAAGGATTGTGGTAGTGGTGATATTTGGAGGCAACTGGGTGAAAATAAAATAAACATATAAATATAAAACATAAGATAAAAAAAAACAAATTAAACCTCCAGAGGAGTTAATTTCAAGCGTAGTTCTTTTTATTTTGGCTACCAGTAACTCTAGAATGGGCAAGGCGTTAGTTTATTCGTCATTATTTTCTTTGCATAATTTTAATAGATTCATCATGTTTTGTAGCAATGTGAGGGATTAAGGTTAGGTTAGCCTAGACAAATAAAGAAATCAGGCAAAAATATAAATAAACATTATTATTGAAGTAAAACGAACATTAAAACCTGTAAACCAGTAGATGGGTCAATAAAAGATGCATATATCTAGTAGTTGCAGGGATATCATCAAAAAAAATTTTGGGGGAGGGGGAACTTATCGAGCCTATTATGATATTCTAAAGGTTTATTTTGCATTCTTTCATTATTAATGGCTGATATATCAATATTTGAACAATTATAAAGAGGAAATAAAATGGGGATAGTTTTCTAAAGTAAAAAAAAATAATTCTCAACTTAATTTTATAAGGTAGTAATAAAATAAAATACCATTCGGAGAGATCAATTGGCAAGCTTAAAAAAATAGGAATCTTGTGAATAAGTATAGAATAATTTAAATAATATATAAATACTGTATTATGTATTTTTTTTGGAATAAATATAAAATCAATTAAAATAGAAAACCCCGTTTAGTATTTTTTATTAAAAGAATAAAAAGGAGAATTGTTAAAAAAGGTAGGAACCAAGAATAAATATATAATTTTAA